GCTCACCTGGATGGTCCGGACAGAACTGTCAGCAAGGTGACTTCTTTCTGATGTATGCCTTTGTGTTGTCGCTCACTCTAGAGATCTCACGTTCATAGATGTATTGACTTTTATTTAATATGAATATGTGTCTTTCTTTATCCCACAGACATCGATGAGTGCATCAGCATACCCTGCCAACATGGAACCTGTGTGAACAAAGGTGGCGGATACAAATGTACCTGCTCACCAGGATGGACTGGTCAGAACTGTCAGCAAGGTAGGTTCTTCTAATTTATCGGTACATGTAGCTAGGATTTACATTGAAAGCATAGATTTTCGTATCTCCATGAATTTTTTTTTCTGTCAAAATCTCTCTTCTTTGATAATAGGTTTTGTTTATGAATGGTGATTAAACTCTTTCTTTATCCCACAGAAATCAATGAGTGCATCAGGAAACCATGCCGACATGGAACCTGCGTGAACAAACGTGGCGGGTACAAATGTACCTGCCCACCTGGATGGATTGGACAGAGGTGTCAGCAAGGTGACTTCTGTTTAATAGTATTTATTGTCTTTGTGCTGTCGCGTGCCTTAGTTCTGTCTGTGACCCTGTGATTTCTGTGACTTCGTGATGTTACTCACTTGAGTGGTCTCAAGTAAAAAGATATATTGATATATACTACACGTCTTCCTTATCCCACAGGTATCGATAAGTGCAGCAGAAACCCATGTCAACATGGACGCTGTGTGAACCAATATGGCAGATACAAATGTACCTGCTTACCTGGATGGACTGGACACAACTGTCAGCAAGGTAGGTTCTTCTAATTTATCGGTACAGGTAGCTAGGATTTACTTTGAAAGCATAGATTTTATCTCCATGGATTTCTTTTCTGCCCAAATCTCTCTCTTCCTTGATAATAGGTTTTGTTTATGAATGGTGATTAAACGCTTTCTTTGTCCCACAGACATCAATGAGTGTATCAGAAACCCGTGCCACCATGGAACCTGTGTGAACAAAGATGGCGGACACAAATGCACCTGCTCATCCGGGTGGACTGGGCACAACTGTCAGCGAGGTCTGTGTTAAAGTTCATTACCTCCATGAAAAATGGAGGTATTGTTTTTGGTCGTGTCTGTCTGTATGTATGTCTGTGTGTGTGTGTGTGTGTGTGTGTGTCTGTGTGTGTTTCCGCAACTTTGTAGTCAGCATAACTTCAGAACGCCTTTATCGATTGTGATGATATTTGGTATGATGGTAGGTCTTGGAAAGACAAAGGTCAAGGTCAAGTATGGGCCTCCTGGTGGATGACCTTGGTACTGCAGCAGAACTTCCGATTTTTGTATCTTTTAACCTGAACAAGCTATGGTCTTGACTTTTGGGTGACAGATAGCTTATCCTGTCAGAAATAAGTGGCGTAAGTTTGGTTTCCCTAGCAGCTTGTTCTTGAACTGCAGGTTAGTTTCTGGTAAAAACTTTTAAAGCCAATAAGTCCAGATTGGAACAACATATTTTCATAATTTTTGGTGTGTAGGTACCTGAGAGACAGTTGTACATGATTAAATGCAAATTATGCAAATGAGGACTTAATTTGCATAATCAATGAGGAAATTCTATAATTACAGCATATAACGGTGCTGCTATAGATGTAATCTATTTGATCTGTGGCAGGCGGAACATCAACAGATACCAATTATGCAAATGATGACCTAATTTGCATAATTAATGTGAAAAGTCTGTGAATCCTTATTGGTGAATGATGGGAATTTTATACCTTGTAACATGTGTAAGTTACTTAAAGGTTTGCATCGCTATGCATATTATGTTAATGTAGAGGTTATTTGCATAATTAATGAGGACAAAGCAAGCCCATATTTCATGGAGGTATGAGATCTCGGAACTCTTGTTTAAGATTTGGTTAGGTCTGTTCTCAAATATTTGGTGTTACAATTAATCTTCTAAAGCGTTCTTTTCACATCACACAGATATCAATGAGTGTGCCAGAAACCCATGCAAATATGGAACCTGTGTGAACACACATGGTGGCTACAAATGTACCTGCTCACCTGGATGGACTGGACAGAACTGTCAGCAAGGTGATTTCTTTCTGATGTATGCCTTTGTGATGTCGTTCACGCTAGAAGTCTCACGTTCATACATGTAGATATATTGTATTTTATTTAACATAAATAAATATATATGTGTCTTTCTTTATCCCACAGACATCGATGAGTGCAGCAGAAACCCATGCCAACATGGACGCTGTGTGAACAACGATGGTGGATACAAATGTACCTGCTCACCTGGATGGACCGGACAGAACTGTCAGCAAAGTAATTTCTTTCTGTACCTATATTTTGTTACTTCAGTACTTACTTAACATGTTTTCATGTGCTGCCATGGTTTCGTTTCCATAGATTAGATTGTTGAATATATTGATCATTATGTTATGAATAATATTTTCTTCATTACACAGACTTCACTAACTTCAAGCATCTATACCCAGTCAGAGCACCTAACTACTGTTTGTTACAACCCAACTGGATGCTAAAAGTCGAGTAGCTGTTGGGAGTACAACAGTTAATGATACATGTTCGTGAGAGAACTCAGTTGCCCTACAGAAAACTCGATACCATAAAGCTGAGGGCACAATTCCTACACGGGGCCCGGCCGGAAAGCTTTTGGGAACGTAAAATATGATATAAAAGACAACAAAACACAGAAAAGTTCTTAATAACAATCATGGACACTATTTCCGATATATATTTTTGATATGAATTGTTGATTTTTCGTTCATACAAACAGCACGGTCGGGCCCCGGTTTGGAAATGTAACCTAAGCATAACTTCAAGAATCAATATTTATTTGTTGTTAACTCGCTTCATCACTTCACCTGTATATCAGATTACTAGGCAAAAAAGAGGCACTTTTCTGTCTGCATCAATGGCATGATAATATATGATGATTATCTTACTGCATTTACTATTTATATGCTACAGAAGGACAATGCAGGAGTGGTTGGACTGGATACAATATCTACTGCTACAAGTTTGAGAGAAATAAACTCGACTATGACAAAGCTGACACAGACTGTAGACGTCGAGGTGCAAACCTGGCCTCCATCACAAGCCGTGAGGAAAACAGTTTTATTGTAAACCTCATCTCGAAAGGTGGGTATTGAATAAGCAACTCCTCGTCATCATCAATTAAGCATTCATTATGATTCTTCCAGATAATTAAGGGTACGCCTACCAACTGTATTTTCAAGAACACACTGCCCCCTCGTGTACTACGTCGTTTAGTCTAGAGCTATTTGTTTTCTTGTTTGTTTTGCACATTAACCATGAAACTGTACTTGGGCATAACACAGCACTTTTGACAGTCACCCGGGAGGTGGCTTAAGTTGTTAGAAGTTAGATTTTGGTGTCAAGTAAGTCACGTAACTTCAGATATCTTCAGACAACTGCCACCCTAACCCCTCCCCCCCACACACACACACACAACTTTGCTTGCTCTTTTGTTTCGCATAACCAGTACGCCTTTATAGGCGTATCACACGAGCTTTGTACATGTAGCCAATATTTTGCATTAGTGGACAAGTGAAGAATATGGCCTACTTTCAGGGACAGGTACAGCCACTAGAACACAGGAATCTGACCTATGCAAACATGCATTTCATATACAATATATAGGTTTACATTCAGTGTAAATTTAAATAGCAAAACAGTTTACTGTTGAGACGTATGAGAGTCAAAAGATAGGACAAGATGACATGAAAATATGCAAATTGCCCCTTTTTCAGGGACAAGTGCGTAGCAGCAAAACAAGAACCCAGACTTTGCAAGTACGCATTCCACACAGTACATATTGTTTTATGTTGTAAATAAATTTCAAGTACAGAACTAGTTTGGTTAGGAACTTTTGTCAGTTCAAAAATAGCACAAAATGACATATTATCAAAATAATGAAAACTGACCCACTTTAAAGGGCAAGTGCGTAGCAACGAAACAAGAACCCAAACTTTGCAAGAATGCATTTCATAGACAATTTGTTGTTTTATATTCTATGTAAATTTCAAGTAAATATCTAGTTTGGTGTGGAACTTATGCTAGGTCAAAGATAGCACAAAATGACATATCATCAAAACAACGAAAACTGACCTACTTTAAAGGACAAGTGCGTAGCAACGAAACAAGAACCCGAACTTTGCAAGAATTCATTTCATAGACAATTTGTTGTTTTATATTCTATGTAAATTTCAAGTAAATATCTAGTTTGGTGTGGAACTTATGCTAGGTCAAAGATAGCACAAAATGACATATCATCAAAACAACGAAAACTGACCTACTTTAAAGGACAAGAGCGTAGCAACGAAACAAGAACCCAAACTTTGCAAGCATGCATTTCATAGACAATTTTTGTTTTATATTCTATGTAAATTTAATGTAAATAACTAGTTTGGTTTGGAGCTTATGTTAGTTCAAAGATAGCACAAAATGACATATCATCAAAATAACGAAAACTGACCTACTTTAAAGGACAAGTGCGTAGCAACGAAACAAGAACCCAAACTTTGCAAGCATGCATCTAATACTTCTGGAGTGGTTTATTATGCAGTGTAAATTTCAAGCAAAACATTCTCTCCTTTTGGGATTTACAGTGCTTCAAAGTTGGGCAAAATTTCAGGTTTTTTTACACCCTTAAAACAGTGCATTGTATTTAGAGTAGCCGAGACCTCAGATTTTACTAAACATTGGCTTTACTGCTAATTTATACAAGTTTAGGCATTGCTCTGATCAGCACATCTTACTCTTGTCGTTACACTAAAGCACTGATTAGTTATATTGCCCTAAAGTTAGCCAATTTCTATGTTTGTACGTGCCAAAATCTGGACAAATGCCCTGAAAACTTCTTTGGCCCGTTGCCATGGCAACAAGGGGTTCTGAGCAAAAAGAAAGCTATTCTGAGGGGTTATGTACCAAGTACTATCACTGTGCAAAAAATGAGCCAAATCGATTTTTGACCGGTGCCACCATTGTTTGATCCTTACAGACATTCGCTCATAATACCTCAGAATTGTTGTTCTAGTTGCCATGTGTTGCTTGCCTGCAGCCCCCAAAACTGTATGGATTGGGCTTCATAGAGGTCGAAACTCTTGGATATGGACGGATGGGACACCACTCACATATAAAAACTGGAGACCTGGTGAGCCTAACGACAACGGATTCCCCATGAGAAAGATCAAAGGTGGAGAAAACTGTGTTTACATGGACTCTAAGGTGGGTGCTCCCTTTCTATTACAGAACAGTACTGAGACCTCTGATGGATAGGTAACACAAATGCATTTGTTTATCTTTGGAGCATGGAATGTTTAGGTGGATTCCGTCATCTTTCATTGGAAACAATGGTTCAAAGACCTGCATGAGATAAGTACTAGAAGTCACCATAGTTACTGCTGTTTGATTTTAGCAGTGTGTTTGAGTAAGAATGAACAAAAATGCATTATATTGTTGCTTTTTCCATGATGGTGCCAAACATTTTACACATTTAAAGCATATTATTCATTTTTTATGTAATTATTTGATATAAAGTATTTACCTCTAAGCCCACATGTTTCTTCTAACTATAACATAAGTATTAACCTAAGTAACCTATGCAACCTAAGTATTTTATTATTTTCTTTGAATATTATTGGTTTACGCTTGTATCAATTTTCTTATTACGTATTCTTTACGTAACATTTCTTATATACAGGGTGGCAGTAATTGGCTTAAAACTGTTAAGTGGGGAAAAGGAGGCTGGAATGACAGCCAGTGCAAGTGGAGCCATCCTTTCATCTGCAAGAAGCTAAAATCATGATATTCTTGTAGATGTCAAAGAAGCATTATACATTTGTACATGCCACAGCTTTGTGGGACCACAGTAGGCAGCAACAATTACAACAATTTGTCATGATTCTTTTTTGCTATGTTCTTATTTATCTTGTAGAGATATATGAGATTTGTTGCTATTGACGTTTCCCTTTTTTATATCATAGCACAGACTTAATTAGAATGGTAGCATTACTTAGCTTGAATAATCGAAATTATGCTGTACTAGTGCACTGACAGATACACTCCAATTAAATAATTCTGTGAGAGGAGCAAGAATTTTTTTTGCCTTTTTATAAGAATATTTATCTAAAATCAAGCTGTATTTTCTCACAGTTATTAAAAATCTTTCTTTAGATATTTTTTCTTCAAGCAAGATTTTTTCTAATTGTTCTTTTCTGTAGCAAGAAAACTATTCTCCCCACAAGAAAAGATTTTTTGAACTAAGATCTAACTCTTCTTGTAGAAACAAAACTATTCTGTACACAAAATAAAACATTTCTTGAACTAAGAGCTAACTGTTCTTGTAGCAAGAAAAACATTCATCCCCACAAGAAAAGATTTCTTGAATTAACATCTAACTCTTATTGTAGCAAGAAAACAATTCTCCCCACAAGAAAAGATTTCTTGAATTAACATCTAACTCTTCTTGTAGCAAGAAAAACATTCTGCCCACAAGAAAAGATTTCTTGAACTAAGATCTAACTGTTCCTGTAGCAAGAAAACCATTCTCCCCACAAGAAAAGATTTCTTGAATTAACATCTAACTCTTCTTGTAGCATAAAAAACCATTCTGTATACAAGAAAAGATTTCTTGAACTAGCAAAAAAACGTTCTTGTAGCGAGAAAACCATTCTGCCCTCAAGAAAAGAAATATATAGTGCTACTTAAATATAAAACAGACAACAATGATGTATAGCAACTAAATGTTATTTTGAAAAGCATTTGGACAGTATAGAGATGTTTATTACCACATTAATTTTGTACAATGAATCCAATTTAAAATATAAAATCAGTCAATCAACATTCTTGGAATGGAAACAGTTTAACAGTAACAAAATATTATATGATGTATACTAACAAGCCATTATGATTTCAGAATACAGATCATATCACATTCTGAAACATATTAAGCAGAAACTGCAGTTTTGGCATGATAGAATTGGCAAAGTCACACCCTTTGGATACCTGGAAAAAAACAGGAAAGACCTCGTCGACGTCAATGAAGGTTAGACACCCAGGTACTGCGATACGCCAAAAAGCAGTTACTCAAGCAACTGGATATGATTTTGGAAACGACCAGAAGTTTCAGGTAGTATCCACTAGCTTTCGTCAGTGACTGAGAGACCAGAGGAGAAGTGCAGGTTTATAAGCACAAACTATTGATTGATATGCAAATAAAGTGAAGACAATTTTTTTGGGAAGTCGAAAAGATAACAAAAGTCAGACAAGTCAAGACAAGA